GAATTTTCCTATTGGTCGAAATTGGTTTACACGGTTTCTTAGAAATGCATGGTTTTCATTTGAACGTGCCCATATATATATAGAGGAGCGATCAAATGCAAACAACTCAATTTGTATAAACCATACAAACCACCCTCATCTGTCGATTTCATTGTTTAATCTTGAATTTTTTTCATGAAATTGTTTAATCTTGTGCAATTATTTCATACAAGTTTTTTTTTGATGAAGTTGTTTCATATATGGTTATGAAATTGTTTCATATAMTATTTAATGAAATTTTAATGAAACTGTTTCATTTATTTTTTTAAAATTTTAAGTAATGAAGATGATAATATTCATGATTAACACCCGCCACAATAAAAATGATCAATCAACCTCTCATAATTACAAAAGTTTGAATAAAATGAAAAATTATGATCGGTTGAATGTGGTTTGCACGGTTTATACAAATTGGATGGTTTCAAACAATCAATTATAACTGACGGATAATAAATTGTGAGTCCCATTATGCTATCAACAAACAAACCATAACTCCTTTCACAACTACAACTAAAGCAAGGTGCATACATCTTGAAGTGAAGATGACAAAATGGAGATATCATCTCCTTTCAATAGATTATATGCATGTTATATATACATAACATACATATAAATGTAAGTATACAATTCTTTGGCATGCTCCTGTCTTGTGTGATGTACCTAACATACATGCACTGATGATCATGTTTATTTAGTGCCATGTTGCATATGAGGTTAAGTTTGATTCAGATACCATACAATGACTATAGGTTACGAATTCTTGGCAACAAACGTGCATATATACTAGATTGCCTTTTGATTCTTGATATTTTTTTGCACTCAAGTCTGGACGCACGGGCCTTAAGTCTGATTGCACAGTCCAGACTTCAGACAACCAATTTTCAAGGTAACATTTGTGAGTGTGTACTCTATACCTCCTAACTCACTTATGCTTGCCTTATCACTCTGATCTATCTCGAGTGAATCACAATCACACCAAAATGATTGATGACACTAAATTCACCAACAGAAAATGCCACTCAAGCGTGTTAATTTTTCATGGAAACGTACACGTGACTTTAGTTAGAATTCAACCATGAGAATGATGTATATACATTTGATTTTGTGTGTTAATATCTGTTGAAAACCACGTTGCCTGTCAACCGCCCCAAGCTCAAAGCAGCTTTGATGTCGAGACGCCATGCATACCCACCGGAATCCATCTTCCAGACGTCCGTCACATGGCACCGTCGTCTGCTTATTTTTGATCTCCGATAACTGATAAACAACTCTCCCTATGCATGAGCAAGCTGGCCAGTAGCAGTCAACCATAGATCTTTCCACTTTTACTCCTAGCCACACCAACACTCCGGTGGCGGTGATGTTTATCGATATTGAACAATGAGTTTTAACTTCCTTTCTCTTCTCTTTGGTTTAACCGATTGATAGCAGTACAACTTGCGATTGATGTACAACTTGCAAAGCATTTGACAGCTTTGTGGATTTAGCTCTAAACATAGAGGTAAGAATACATTTCATGCTGTGTTGGGTTTCAATTATATTTCCTGCTGTTATAAACTATAATGCATCCATGATGGACATCCTGACAAACACAACCAGAAAATTCTGTTGTATATGAAACTATGGCTCTATGGATTGAACCAATGTGATCCTTGCTTGGTGAAAAGTGTGTGATCTTAGCCTTTGTTAATTCTTTTCATCTTATTATATATGTATACCACCCACTGGCTACATGTGATTTGGAACAATTATAGCAAAGAGGAACATGAAGCATAAAGAAAGCCAAGAACAACCATATAACTCCCAAACCACACAATAAAACTAGATATGGTTGCCAAAGGGCCTTTGGCCTAGCTGTATTGTAGCCCTTGGCCTTCTAGGAGGTCAGAGATTCAAACCTCACTATAGGTGAGGAGGGTGTGTGAGTTTATTTGTTGCATTTACCGTATATAAATATTATATACTTCAAAAAAAAAAAATAACTAGATATGGTTCTAAGGAATGCTTAACCCTTGGACTCTTGATATGGTTTTAAGGAAACAAGAATATGATATTTGCATGGTGTTTGTTGTCCAATTTGTGGGTTTACTTTACGAAGCTTCAATTTTAGACAAAGTGATTGACTTTTTAGTCATTGTACTTGACTTTTCGTTATAAACAAACCATCTTCCATTGCTTGCTTCAAGGCTCCGTTGATCCACTCGGTCCAAGTACTCATCTATTCATTGGATTCTTTCTTGATTTCCATAAAGCATTTTGCTCCTCGATCGATTGTTGCTTGATTCACTAAAGGTAATCCATTTCTTCTGTATATGCATTATGTACTTAAAAGATGAGTTTTTTGGATTTACGGAATCTGTTGTTTGGTCCTTTGTGTGCTATATGTTGCTCAACGACAACATTTTCTTCTCAAAAAATTTAAATATATATATACATGTTGCCTAATATTTTTAGTATAAACATTTATTTATATATTTCAAATAGATTCTGATTAGTGTAACAAACTTGTAGAAATGAACACTCCATATAATGTTGATGGTTTTCATCATTAAACGAAGTACATGTATGATGGAGCTTGACAAGAGTTCATGTGGACTTTGTTTGGGAAGATGTTAGGGAATAAAGACTACTCATTTTTTTAATTGATCAAAACGTAATAAAAATATTTACAATTTTGATTGCACGGTAAAAGAAATTTAAACCTATTTAACATTTATTTTATTATATTTTAGAGGAGAAAAATGGTAGCAATTGTTCATCATCTCCCTTTAATTCAAATATACAAGCAAATAAACTTGGTTTCGGAATTGAATATCATCATAGTGATTTGAGGAACGAAGGTTATATGCTCACCTTCAATGAATTTTACATTCTAATTTGCCGAAACACAACCTTCATACCGTTGTTGGGGGATGTCGAAAATGGCTTTCCGTTCTATCCGTTGGTGCCTTCTATAAGAACTCTTGTAGAAGATTGGAGTACGCGAAAATTCGTGATCAGTGCATCTAAATTATTTGATACTTTTATATTTTTAAAACAATAAAATCATGTTTGATAACGTAAATCTAATTTTTAAAATATGATAATTTTTGTTTTAAATGTTGTTGGAAAAATCATCTCGGATCAACAAGTAAGATCTATCCGAACTCATGATTATTTGCGATTTGGATGTTTTGAAATATTTCTCCAAGATGAACCGTAAGTGTGTATATTATTAAGCAATTAACAAATTATCATAGTAACTAACATTTTTATTACTCATAATAGGGGAAATATAATAAAGATGAGGTTGTATGATTCGACACAATTCCGTTTTATGGAGATAGCTCGTACAATCGTAGATAACTCTATAATATATGCATCTCGAGTTAAACTCATCCATTTGCCTACTCGTGCAACTCAAAGTATGTAACAAGTTGCTTTTATTTTTAACTATTCTATTTTATTAAAAAAATGTATATTCGATTTTTTTCAGATAATTTTTTGAGTTCTACGGAATTAACTACTATCATGTTAGAACCACATATGCCAAAAACAGATGCCGTTAGAACATTGATGACATAAAAATATTTGATTAGTGTTATAATGTTTTTTTTTTGTCTTTTTTTTATTTGTGAACTTATATATATCTTTTATATATATTAATATGTTGGTTTAAATTTAATTGTTGTCTCTTCATTGTCTATTAGTGATATATTTTGAATATTTAATTAAACTGAGTAAAGAAATTATTAGATACCCAATAAAAAATGAGTGATATGTTCGATAAAAAATGTATATACTAAACTATTATTCAAGACAACCAAGGTAAAAAAGAACAAAGATGGCAGATTATTTTTGTTCAATCTCGAAATTTCTTACCCTAGCTTTGTTCATTCCAATTCCAACATTTACACTTTATTTCACAGATAAAACCATATTATTCTATTTCCATCATTTTACAATGTCCAATGAGGATGGGTGCTGACAAAATTGCAATTACTGATGTAACGTAAGTTGATGTAGATATAGCAAAAGGTATATGGAATACTCACTATAATTATTATCATCGTGATAAATTCACTCAATTGTATATATATTTATATAAAACAATATTGTTGCAGAAAAAAGAAAGGAATACAACAGACGATATTATGAACGACAAAAGAAAAAGAACAAAGTGAGAAAAATAGCTAATGGTGAAAGAAGTAATCAATCTATGACCCTTATGGAGACGTAGCGCGTGAACGTCAATGAAACAACCGTTTGTCAGTGCAGTGACTATTGCTGAAAAGAGAAAAAATGTTAACAGAAATTATTATCATCGAAATAAAGAAAATAACATATATAGAACAAGTGTTAACAAACAAGGAACAAGTGTTACAAACAAACAAGGAACGACTCTAATATGTTCGGATTTGACACATGAAAACTTCAACGGTAAAACCGTGCATTTTTTTAATTCTTTTACCAATTTTAGTAATTAAAATCTCATTTAAATTACATTATCTTTCTTACATAGGTATTCGAAGTAAGTGTGGTATACTCCTACCTTTTTTTTGACGAAGTTACCAATCAAGTATTCAGAGGTTAGAGTTACTTTTAAATTTCACATCATCTAGAGAAAAAAAAATCATTAATTACTATTGTAAACATTCAAGTGTTTTATCATGTAGAAGGTTGTACTAGGGCAGATGTCAGTACTTTGAGCCAACATGGCATCCTCCCGGGGGGATCCGTACGATTTTGTTTGCAATGGTATTCCTAGAAAACATTGTCTTGAAAGAACAAAATCCATGTGAATATTGTGGAGCAAAACGGTTAAAATTTGAATTTCTTTTCTTTTGTTGCATGAAAGGGAATAATACAAAGTTAGCATACTCACTCATTCCTGAAGAATTATACAGTCTTTCTCATCGCAATCTGAATTAGGCGAAATGTTTAGACACAACTTACATGCATATAATACGAACTTTTCATTCACGTCAATTGGTGTAAACTCGTATAGTTCAATGGCAAACATGACATCCAGAGTATATACATTTCGTGCGCACATAGCTGTATATCATAAAATTGATCAATTAGTGTCGAGGGATGGACAACCTAGGTACTTACAGTTGTACTTTTATGATTCAGAATCAGAGTTATCGCATAGGCTCCAGTGGCCAAATCTTGATAGAAATGTCATTGAAATTTTGACTCGTGTTCTTTCTATGAACCCATATGTGAGAACATTTCGAAGCCTTGTTGAGCTCGGACCACTTGAGAACTCTAGAGTCACTTTGAATACTTCAGTGGAACTTGACCAAAGGGTGTACAACCGACCAACCACATCAAAGGTTTGAATACAAGTATTTGGTTTATGCTTATTGAAATAAAATTAGATACATACACTAAATAAATTGAGTTCTATAATTATGTTAGGTTGCTGGTATTTGGGTTGAAGGCAACGACAACATAACTGCATACAAGAGAAGTATTGTTGTGTATDRSARGTCTAATTATAGCCAAAATATTCAATATTACTTCRGTTGTTATGAYYYRTTGTCCTATCCTTTGTTCTTTCYYAACGGTGAACYTKKATGACATTCTAATATACCTAGACATGGAGTGTGCATGAATCAAAGTGTTAATGATGATGAAAACATGGAGGAAGATTTAGAAGGTACATACCATGTTGTAATATTTAMGTTTTAATTAAGGTAACAAATATTTGCTTAAACATAGATGTCATCAGTTTATATTTATTTCATAACATGCACATTACATAGAGGTTGATGTGAGAAACAATAAGAATACTATAACGATGCGGGAATACTATTATTATAAGTTCCAGGTTCGTTCGAACAAGAATGTACTTCTATTGGGGGGAAGGTTGTTACAACAGTTCGTGGTAGATATCTACATCAAGATTGAGACTTCACGTTTGGATTTTCTGTCAGAAAAACCAAGCCAAAATAAGAGAAGATTTATACCAAGGTGTTATAGATTGCATCAATGCCGGTGAGGTGATACCTAGTATTGGGTTGTGTTGCCTACAAGTTTCATCGAAGGACCACATGATACGCGGAGATGATTTCTTGGTTCCATGACTTTAGTGCAAGATGATGGGAAGCCCAATATATTCCTTACAATGACGTGCAATCCAAAATGGCTTGAAATCTTTAGAGAGTTATTTCTGGGTCAGATCACACCTGATCGACCAGTCCTTGTTGCAAGATTT